GCATTATAAATTTTTTTCCATAAATATTTATATAATTTTGTACAAATTTCAGCTTCAATGAACATTTATGAACATTTATTTAATTTGCAATTTGACAATTATTTAAAAACTTTCCAAAAATATTAATTTATTCCTGTCTTTCATTCGCCTCATATAGCTTATATTGAAGTCCCTTATCATTAGTTCACTTATAAACTGAAATAAATTTATACTATTTTCTCTTCAGAACTAAGAAATCAGCCCCCGCCTAAGTTCGCAGAATTTGAAAGCATTATCATCTCAATATATACGATTGCCTGTTGCCATATCTTATCTCAGCTCGCCTCTCATTGGTCACTTTTGTGTCGCTAGCAACTAAGCAGCATTTTGCTTTCATTGCCAAAATTGCACATATTTCTAAGCAAAGAACACGAACGTAAGAGCTCCTAGAGTGCGTGATTCATTGCTCTTCGGGTTCTGCTTGAAACGTGCTCATATTCAAAAAGCCAAAACAAACTTTATAAGCCAGTTAAATATTATTAAATAGTTTATTTTTCGTTGTTTTGTTCCTTCTCCATTCAAGCAGCATTTCTTTGGCCAGCTTTTTGGGAAACACTGTCTAACACGAAATAGATTTGTATGCAGTTTTCTATTTATTTTGCAACAATTTCCCTGCTTTTTGTTTAGGCCACAAATGTCGACACGTTCTGCGTATTCACATGGGAAGTTTTGCGGTTGTTGCAAAATTCGAAAATAAAAATAAAAATAAAAATGAAAATGTTTTCGCCCCACTCGGCCCTCAGTGGCGGCTGTTGGTGTTGCAGCAGCCACTTTTCAAATTAAAACTGCCATTGTGCGTGCCCGTCTAGACCGCCCATTTATTTGCATACAAAGCTGCAGCAGCAAACAAAAGCGAAACCCCACTGACGGCAACAACATCGCAAACAGTGTGCAACAATATGCAATGTCCGTGTGCCGTTGACTGGTCTTGAAAATGCGCAACACTCACATAGCCAGGAATTGCATGCTATGAACGAGACATGAGCCATGAAATGCCATTTTTTGTATATTGTTTTTAATGATAAACTGCGCACAAAGCTCAGGCTTCAGTTGTGACTGGAGAGCCAGAGTGGGAGTGGGTTGGGAGGTAGCTATATGGCATGAGTGTTTAATCCGCTGACAGCGGAACGAACACGTGATAACGGTAGTCGGGTTCTTGGCATAAATCATTGTGCATTTTGGCGTGTGTAATGAAAATGCTTAACAGCTACTTAAAACGCAAACGGCAAACAGCAAACAGCAAACAGAACAAAAAAGCCGGCAAAGTGGCAGCTGGCGTTCTGTGGCAGCTGCCGCAATACAATGCGCGTGTAAATGACACTTCAAGCCGCATTACATGACGCCCACTCGGCGGCAGCAAACAACAAATGAGCAACGACGCGAGCGGGGCGCATTTCACTTTTTGGGGTTGGCCAAGGTGACAATGGTGTCATTAAAAGTGCCCGACCATTGAGATTACAAGCAAACAAACGAACAGCATACAGCAGACAACATACAACAGCTGAGCAGCTGTCACACTTGAAGTGCTGACAGCTCAGCGCACAAGACTTGCACTTGCCTTTGCAGCATTGCCAAAATGAAAGAAACTGTCAGCCAACATTTAAATTAGCCAACATTGGGGAAATGGGAAACAAGTGCAAAGCCAGGTGACATTCGCTTGCAGTCGTCGACTGCCTAATGCTCTACACAATCTACACTAATGAGTTTTTCACTTTTTATCTTTCTTTATCTGGATTTATGCAACTTGCAATTTTTGTCTGTCTTTCTCTCACGCTCTTTCGTTTGCCTCTATCGTTCTAACTCTCTCTCACATTATCTCCCGCTCTATCTCCCGCTCTATCTCCTCTCTCCCTTTATCTGTTCTCTGTCTGTCTCTTTCCTTATCCATCTCTGTCTCCTAATATACCTTCCTTTGCTTCATAAACAGCGTATGACGAGCACGTGAGCTGCGCTGACTTCTTCTCTTTGCCTCTATCTCTTTATCAGACTCTCAAGAGGCTGCGTTTGTGGCATGCCACAATCCTTGCCACAGCTCTTGTGCCATTAGCAGCAGCTGCCACGCCCAACGCCGCGGCCTTACCTTAACAAAAAGTTGCAGCCAGCGCCCGCCTGCACTTTATACTTTTTTGATTAATCGTTCGAGTTGTGCGCCCAAACATAAGCAAAAAGCACAAAAAATAGATTTTCTTCTTAAGCCGCGAGATGTTGACGTTATTTCTCTTGAGTTGCTCGAAGCATGTTTTACCTTATAAATCGTGTTTGCCCCGTCGCATGATATATGAGAGCGACGCACATCTACATACGCTCAAATTTGTGAGTCTCTCCCTTTCTCTCTCCTCCTCTGTCTCTCTATGTCGTGTGTCATGTGCTGGCTTGTTGTGATAAATTTGTTGGCAACTGTGAATTTTAGCCACTTTTCAAAATTTGTTTTGCCAGCGTTCACATGAAATTTCTTGGCACTGATTTCCAGTCAGCGTCCCAAACCCAGTTTTGATAAATGAATTGAGTTTCAACCTCATTGTTTGCCAATTGAGTGCAAGCTGAAAGGTGACTACCTGTATTACTCCACTAATGAGCTGCCCGAATTTATTGGCCAACATGTGTGGAAAGCGGGCGAGACAATGGCCAAATGAATCGTAATGCCGCAAAAGGCTTCCTTTTCAGCAATTTGCTGGAATTCGACTGGCGAATAAATGGGTTTCAATTTAATGAATTCTGTATATCACTTTTTGAAGTTACTCAGCCTTTATATTTCTTGTTTTGAATATTAGCGAACATTTTTTAAAGAAATTTAAAAAAAAAAATAAAAAATTTTATAATATTTATTAAAAATTATTTATTTTATCGGTTGTTAATTTGGCAAGTTACAATTATTGAATTATTTTTGTATAATATAAATATTATCTATATCTTATAGACTTTAGCTGCAGCTTGAACTATTTGAATTATTTTTGTATAAAATAAATATTGAAATATACAAAAATTATTTATCTGTTTATTATAGACTTTAGCTGAAGCTTGAATTGTTTGAATTATTTACGTATAATATAAATATTAAAATATGTAAAAATTATTTATCTATATCTTATAGACTTTAGCTGCAGCTTAAATTATTTGAATTTTTTATAAATATTAAAAAATATATATAAAAATTATTTATCTATATCTTATAGACTTTAGCTTCAGCTTGAATTATTTGAATTATTTTTGTATAATATAAATATTAAAAAATATATATAAAAATTATATATCTATATTTTATAGACTTTAGCTGCAGCTGTGTAGAACTGAATGCTTACTTCATTATTTGATAATAGTTTTTTTTAATAAATATTAAGTCACGTTCTTTGCATTGACAATGTCCAAAGAAAGTATGGATCTTATGTAGAATGTCTCTCATTATTAATTCTTTTTAATATTAAATATTATTCATCTGATTTTCATAGCTCTTAAAGCAAGTCACTTCAAGATTAGAATAGCTAATAGCTTGACAAATTGATTCACAATTTGAAGGCGAACAGATCGAACTTTCTCTAAAATCTATTCACAATAATTGCTCTTAAAGAGCTTATGATCAGAGATAAACAACTCTCTTTCTACATATTTTTTTCTGTTCTATTTAAAATTTATTTTAGCCACTTCCAGAACATTCCACTGTTGAGTTTAAACTACTCTAACAAATTTTTTTATGATCATGCAACAAAGTAGTGCATGTTTATCTGATTTCCTAAAGGCAATTCATCAATTATATATATCGCAAAACGAAATTGTTTTCATGTTTGTTTATTTGCTGCTTAAGCAATTGTTGTCTTTTGAAAGAAACAAGACAAAGAGAAGTTGATATATAAATATATGGTTTCTAATGAATTTTCAAGGCTTTCTTTTCTACTTTCTACTTGCTTTTTTATCACACAAAGATAATTTCAATTTGCATAATAAATAAAGAAATTGTTCTTATATATACAGATTACAATTTCAGCAACAAAAAAACAATAAACAAGATATATAAATATTTATATTATATTAGCTATTTACGTTGATATCTATCTAAGCCCAATTAAGTTGAAATTGTTGTGTTGTTTAAAGTACATGAATAAGTACAGTATATAAAGGTACTTAAGTGATTAATGCCCTAAAAAAAAAACCGTAGCGTAATGTGTTTTTCCATTCATACTTTGATCAAATAGAATAATAATTGGCCACAGCAAAAAAAGTACGAAAAGGCAACGATAAGAAAATTATATGGAAATGCTTTGTACATTATCATGAACTGATTAAAGAGTTTTATAGCCGATGGGTGGGGCCGATTTACAATTAGTTCTGAGAAAATGCCAGATAAATTTATGAACGAACAATGAAAAATCATTCGATTCTATTAACAACCACTCGAAAGGTGAGCAGCGGCTTAATTAAGACGCGTGTAAATGAATGAATTGAATTCGATGCGATTCGGTTCGATTCGACTCGATTACACATGGGTATTACATGCCGCAGGTGATTCAGTCGATTTATATATATATATAATTTAAAAATAAGCTCTTATATCATTTTTGTTTCGATAAGAATGCAGACATCAAGACACTGTTTGAAGCTGTCTGATAAGCGCAACTAATGGGACATGAACACTGATTAGTGTGTCTAACTGTGTGTGTGTGTGTGTGTGTCGGTCTGTATCTATTGTGTTTGTCTTGAGGGGCCAATTTATCATAGCTGCTGCTTTACACAATAACCTCGGCCAAGCTATCAGTGCAAAGGGTTGTCGCTACTTGTATTAAAACTGCACAAAAGCCAATTAAGCCTGCCAATTGCCTTGTACGTTTCCCATATCTAATCAAATGTTGCAAAAACAAGGAAAAAAAGGAGAAAAAAGTGTAGAGAGAAAGATACATAGAGCAGAAATAAGAAGATATTTTTGCAGCATTTAGTCAACTATAAAAGCAACGCCAACTTTAAGATGAGCAATTAGTTAGCACTTGAGAACGCAACTGGAATAAGATGCAATTGCTTACACGCACTCTACTGATCGCCGTCACTGTGCTGGGCGTAAGTAGGGGACATGGAAATACTCATTTTGTAATTACAATTGAATTCATCTGATCGCAGGCCAGCGCCTGGCCCCGCATGGTCGACGAGACGAGCCTGCTGCGCATGGTCATGACACAGCTGGGCGCCCCGCTGGCTGAGTCGCGCGCCATATCGCCCGCAGAGACCGCCTGCTTCAATAGGTATACCAATGCCACCAACAAGATCGGCTCGGATTTGGCCAACAGCACCGCCAAATGCGAGGATATCGCCAATCGTACCGTCGTCGAAAACCAGCAAAGAAGCAATGCCACCATCAACAAAATTCGCAGCCAGCAATTGGAATTGCAAAAGAATTTGCAAAGGTGCTTGAATGAGACTGACAGCCAGCGTTTCATCAACTGCACCGTGTCGACTGTGAGCGCCAAATATATATTTATATATATATAAATTAATATCTGCTTTGATCTGCCTAGCTTGACAAGAACCTGGAGCTGCTGGATAGCTGCAATACTCTGGCTTATCAGACCCAATCGCAGTTTGTGTCCAATGCCTCCGTGGTGGAGACACAGCGCTCGAGCTGCATTAGTTCCGCGGTCAGCGAGTCCAAGGTGAAGTCCATTGAGGCGGCCAACGATTTCGATAACTGCATGGCCAAGGCGCCACAGCAGCGTGAGCTGCCCGCCAAGCTGGAGGAGCAAAAGCAGGAGCTGGCACAGGCACAGGCACAGGCACAGACACAGGTACAGGTACAGCCTCAGCAGCAGTTGGAGCAGCAGCCAGAGCAACAAGTGGAGCAGAAACCCGAACAGAAGCCCGAGCAGCAGAACGAGCAACCCGCGCAGGCCGCTCTGGCCGGTCAGCCCCTGGCCGCAAACGAACAGCCAGCAAACTAAATGTGAGCTATAGAATTTATGGCCGAAACTCAAGTTTTATTGGCACACAATAAAGAGCTTTAATATTCAATATATGACTTGACCTCCTCAATAAGCCATTATCGAAAAATCACGATCTAATTAGCCACAAGCCAATGGCTACTTATAAATAATAATCAAGTTAAGCCAATCTATAGCTGCTGTCAGAGGGACTGTCAACTGCTTTAAGCAATCGATGTTCCCGGAATTTCAGTTAGTGAATTACTCACAATTATCTAACTATTTTATAAATATATATATATGCAGATAAATGTGGTTATCGAACAAAAAAACTTTGTTGGGTGGGACTTACAGGCACTGGTAGAGATAAGGACAAAGAACCAAAATAGAAAACCCAAATCGTCATCGATTTTTTGATTTAAAATGCCTCGGCAGACCCATTGTCCAAGACATTAACGAACGGAGGCCCCACCATGGAGGTTCTCTGCAAATTTTTTGTGCTCTTCGCACTGCTATTCAGCGCAACGGTATGTATAATCAAGAAGGGTTCACGTGCACCTATTTCGAGTGTTAATTGTATCTCATAAAGTCGGTGATAGGCAGATGATTCAGTCTGTCATATCTGTCTTATTGTTGCTTTAAAGTATACTAGATTCAAATCTTTTTAATTTGAATTAAATTAAATTGCTTATCTGTGAAGTGCTAAATCAGTTCGGTGATAAATTTGTAAAGTAAACTATAAATAAATAAAGTTGTTTTATAACAGCTTAAAAAATTGAAGAAAAAATAATGTTTCATATATGGAAATATCACTTCTATTCGTTCCATATATTAAAATCTATATTATACCAACTTAACCTCACAATCCACATCTTAACTGCCAGACATCATCTGAACCCATCCAATCGAAAGATGCTAACTTACCGAACGAGCTATTCAATGCCATTGTCGGAGATCTGAAATTGCCCGAATTTGGTATCCTCAACAATTTGGATCAATGTACGGCCACTTATACGCTCAGAAATGTGGAGATATTAATGAATGCGGGCAACAAGCTGCGTCAATGCAGCAATGTGGCTCAAGCCGAGTTGCAGAGCTATTTGCAACGACCCAGCTCAGCAGGCGTCAGGGCTGCCTTCCAACAGCAGCTGGCCAACTGCCGCACGCGCAAATGTTACACGGATTCGGTGAGACAGCAACGGAAACGACCAACCGAACGAGTTACTAATCAAAGGCTTTTTAATTTAGGTCATGAATCTGTTTGCCGGATTGCGTCCAATGTACAAGCAACTCCGGCAGACGGAACGTTGTGTCATGCATGAGATTAGTAAAATTTTGCATGAACTCGAAAAGTCATTCAGAGTCCTGGAATCTTGCATTGGAAATGCTTTTGCACCGTCTTGGAACTCTAGCACTCCCAGCTGGAACTGGACCACTCCTACTCCACCCAGCTGGAACTGGACCACTCCTACTCCACCCAGCTGGAACTGGACCACTCCTACTCCACCCAGCTGGAACTGGACCACTCGTACTCCACCCAGCTGGATCTGGACCACTCCTACTCCACCCAGCTGGAACTGGACCACTCCTACTCCACCCAGCTGGAACTGGACAACCCCTAGCTGGAACTGGACCACTCCTACCCCACCCAACTGGAACTGGACTACACCTAGCTGGAACTGGACCACTCCTACCCCACCCAACTGGAACTGGACTACACCTAGCTGGAACTGGACCACTCCTACCCCACCCAACTGGAACTGGACTACACCTAGCTGGAACTGGACCACTCCTACCCCACCCAACTGGAATTGGACCACTCCTACCCCACCCAACTGGAACTGGACTACACCTAGCTGGAACTGGACCACTCCTACCCCACCCAACTGGAATTGGACCACTCCTACCCCACCCAACTGGAATTGGACTACACCTAGCTGGAATGAGTCTACCCCAAGCTGGAATTGGACCACCCCCGGAACACCAAGCTGGAATTGGACTACTCCCGGCTTGAATGAGTCTACCCCAAGCTGGAACTGGACAACTCCCGGGACACCAAGCTGGAATTGGACTACTCCTGGCTTGAATGAGTCTACCCCAAGCTGGAACTGGACCACCCCCGGAACACCAAGCTGGAATTGGACTACTCCCGGCTTGAATGAGTCTACCCCAAGCTGGAACTGGACAACTCCCGGGACACCAAGCTGGAACTGGACTACTCCTGGCTTGAATGAGTCTACCCCAAGCTGGAACTGGACAACTCCCGGAACACCAAGCTGGAACTGGACTACTCCCGGCTTGAATGAGTCTACTCCAAGCTGGAACTGGACCACCCCCGGAACACCAAGCTGGAACTGGACTACTCCTGGCTTAAATGAGTCTACTCCAAGCTGGAACTGGACAACTCCCGGAACACCAAGCTGGAACTGGACTACTCCTGGCCTGAACGTGTCTACTCCAAGCTGGAACTCGACAACGCTCAGCTGGAATACGACTACTCCGATCCCAAGCTGGAATGTGACTACAGAGGCACCTGCGACAACCACTGAAGAAAGCTGGTGGGACAAGCTGATAAATAAGCTCGGTCTCTAAAGTGGGGCATTAGGGGGCATTGCACTGAGGGCAACACCTTTAAATTAGATATTAAGCAAGCTAAATAATAAATGGATCAGCATTGAAATGTGTTTACTCGATAATACTTGCCAGACTTGTAATTTAGTCCGCGCAGAGCAATGAATGTCCAGTAATATGATAAGCCAGCAGGAAAAAAGCGAAAGAAAAACGTGTTTATGGCAGTAGAAGCCCACAAATAGGACACGCCCACATAGCTGCGGCTCGACTGGGCAGGCGTCTGATTAAGATTTATTAGCAAAGCTGAGGGGCCACGTGTCGCAGATGGCTGCACAAAATGATGGATCTGAGCGAAGCGTCAGCAAAATATTGCACAAGAACAAGGGCACAGCCAGAGCAGAGGAGGATGAGGAGGTCAAATATGGAGCTGTGTCAATAAGTGCGGCACAAAAAACCAAAAGAGAGAGAACTGGCAATAATTAGTTACACTCGGCGAGGCTAAATAATGAGCTGGCTGTCAGCATCTTGTGGTGCAGGGTTTCCTTTTCTTTTTTTTTTGCTATAATCAGATATCTGGCTAAACGGACTAAGCTCGACGTAAAAGGCAAATCAAATAATCATAGTTAAAGCCAAAAGTTAAGTCGACCGAAGTTATGCCAAAAGTTTAATAATTGCGTTGAGCGTTCAGCGTAAGGACTAGCATATTATTCAACGCACTCTGACAGCTCTGTCAGGTCGAGAATTTGCATAGCCATTGAGCGCAGTGCAGTGTCTATAGCACATGTGGTGCATAGGTGTGTGTGTGTGTGTGTGTGTGTGGGAGTGTGTATGTGCTGTGCATACAAAGGGAATCCTGACCTAAACAATGAGAGTATGCGCAAAACTTTTAACCTCAGCGTCAGTAGATAAATCACGTTGGATCATCACCCTCAGCATTCATTGTCCATGCCGCAGCGCTATTATGTGACTGAGTGTGTGCGTGTGTAGGTGTATACACACGGACACACACTGCAGGTGCTGCACATTCAATGGCGATTTGCGGCCTGTTCTGGTCTGGTGTTAAACCTGCTGCCAGTGCCAGTGCCAGCGCCAGCGCCACTGACCAGAGACCAGAAACCATAGCCCCGAGCTAGCCGCTTTTGCCTTTGCCTTTGCCAGGACTATAAATTACTGCAGAAGCTGTGTAAATACTTCTCTGCTACTCCTATATGTCTAGCTTTCTCTCTCTCCCTATGCCTGCCCTTGAGTTGTGATTCGTGATCCAAGCTGAAAAAGTTTTAATGAAAATGCACAAATTCAAGTGATCAATTAACATTAATTGCGAAAGGCAAAGTTCATAAAAATTTCATCCGCCAATCACGAGAAAAGAGCATTCGATAAATGAGCCAAAACAAAACGAAACTGTGATTAGATAACGCGCTGTAGGAGTTAACTTAGCATAAGTAAAAACAAAAAAAAAAAAACAAAGTAATAGCCAAGCAAAAGATAAGGAATATGAGCTAATAAATACCCAGTAAAAAATGATAAAGAAGCACATAAGCAAATGTATTAAATATTCAAGCTTAAAAATTAATTCTGGTTAAATAAGTTCTTTGACTAAGAAGCAACCAAACTTTTATTTAAAACTCTTAAAAATGCTTAAAAATTTTAAAATATATTTTCTAGTATATATTTCTCATTGAAAAAGATTTCTAGTATAGAGTGTGTCAAATATGTATTGTAAAAAATTCCTTCAAATTCCTCCTTAAAATCCAGTTCAAGCCGCTTTCAGAAACAACTTCTACCCAAACAAGTTTATTTTGCTTTAGAAAGACCCAAAAAATAACAAGATTAAAACTCCACGATTAACAGCTTAGCAAAGGGACTTGTTCTTATAGATTAACCTCATAAAGGCGAAGTTTGGCCGGGGCAAAACCCTTTTTTTTAGCTTTGCTGTTTACAGCAAATGTTTGGGGCTTGTAATTTTTGAAATCAAAAAGTTTTCGAATGTCTTGGCAAACATAAACGTTAACTTTAACGATAGCCACGGACAACGCCCCTAAAACGACAATTACGAATTTTTAAATAAGAGTCTGGCGCGCACAAAGCTAACTGAAAATTAGTAAGTCATTAAAAGCAAACGCCGCCGACTTGCCAAAAGGCCAATAAGTGCACGAAAAGGTGTCCAAAATGGGAGGCGCCAGGCAGTCAACAGCGGCGCCGCCTGCTTTGCTAAGAGACACGCAGCAGCTGACAGACTGACGTTTAGGTAACTAATAGGCCTTATTTGCATGTTAATTGCTCTTGACTAAGTCAACAGCAGCAGCAGCCGCAGCAGCAGTCGAAAAAAGTATTCTAATAAGGGCAACAAGAATAATGAGAGGCGGGCGGCTGCTTAAGTGTCAGCAACAAAGCAACAAGAAAACAAAATTGAAACAAAAAATAGAAGCGAAAAAGACATTCGCTAAGGCAACAAGAATGTTGCATGAATCCATCAGCAGCCAGCCACTCGAGATGCGTGCGCAACGCTGCAAAGTAGGCAACACTCGTTAAACCGAAGCCATTAAATTTGCTGGCGCTGCAGAGTATGCAACGCGTTTGCCACCCGAAACCAAATGCCAGCCGCCATGTGGTCTAAACTTGCCCGTAATTATACGCAGCTGCCTTTGAAGTGTTGCAGAGCAGCGGGTAGCATCGAGCCTGGCCTGACCTGGCCAAGCGTTGCTGCAGATGAAGCTCACTAAAGGTGCTAAGGCATTAATTACAAGAGCATAAACTAATTAATATTAAGAAATATTATTCAATCAGAGTTATTTCTTAATATTATGAATATATCTAAGCCACAAAGATGATAAGCAAATTATTCTCTTTATGACTAGATTGATATATAGAAGTTTTTAAGAGACTAGGCATAATATGAAGATAGGAAATATAGGAGTATTTATTTATATAAAAATGCACTCTTAGAAGACTTTTATAGTTCATAGATTAAAATGTGAAGGATATGAGTAGAATGAAGCGAGCAAGCAAGCTCTCTCTCTCTCTCGCTCACTCTCTTAGTCCTTCATTCCTTAACTTTCTCACTCTCTCTCTATCTATCTATCTATCTGTCTCTCTCTATCTGTATCTCCCTATTTGTCTCTGTACCTTTCTCTATCTGCTTCTCTTTCTATCTGTCTCTCTCTGTACATGTCCCTCTCTCTCCATCTGTCTCTATATACCTGTGTCTCTCTATCTGTGTCTATCTTTATTTCCATCTCTCACACACTCTCTCTCTCTCTCTCTCTCTCTCTCAACCTATCCATCTCTCGCTCTCTAACTACCTCTATTTACTAAGTTTCTTAGCTCCCACTCCCCGTCTCTGCCAATCAATCAGCTACCACATCTCAGCCCACTCGTACAGGGTATCTTCTAGTCTGGTTCCGTCTAGCTCACTCACATTTTATTGTTTAACTCAAAATGTCGTGTCATTGCCATTAACTTTGAAATGTGCATAGCATAGAGCAAATAAATTGTGTTTATGTAGGTATTCCATGGCGCTGATTGCGCCGTAATTGTTCCATTTGGGCAATGCGCGCTGCATATGTGAATATTTATGCAACTTTTTGGTGCAAGCAGCGAAGCGTTAAACATATATGATGTCGCCTGAAAGTCAACTGAAAACCGTACAAAATTTGCACATTTTGCATTTATGTCTGACATTTTTATGCATATTTCACAATATTTGCGAAAACAATTCGAAAAATAATCTCAGTGAAAGAACTTTTTAGGCTAATTATTTCAAATATTAGATTAGAGCAGGGGAAAGGCTAAACAAATTGAAAATTCTCAATTTATTGCACGTGGTTTGAGCCAAGAACGATTGGAGCGCCTTCATGGCTCAGGTACAATCAATTTAATGGCGATTGGTTGTGGCAACCGCAGTGTGGCAACCACATTAATTGCTCATAAAACGTTGTCGCCCATTTTGTTGAATCGATCAAAGTTAATTGGCATGCGACCGCCATTTGCATGTCATGCATATTTAATAAACAAAAAACCAGCATAAAAACTGCAAACAGCAGTCAAATTAACATAACCAAACGACAAACGACAAACGACACGCAATCACACATCACAGCACATTATACAAACTCCAAACATAAACAATTACAAAAAATAATCATAAAAAAAAGCGACGCTGCGTGCTTTAACACAATTTGCGCATAGTTTGCTCAAATAGTAATTGGAGGAGAAATCCAACCACAGAACTTAATAATGCCACATCAAGTTAAATGCCCAAAAATTAGGCACATCAATTCACTTCAATTTGTGCGCACGCAACGCGCGGAAATCAACTTTCAATCTACAGCGACTGGGGAAATCAAAGGAAGAAAAAACCGCGCTTGGATTCCATTTTTGGCACATCATAAATAAAACATTAAAAGACAATCCGAAAGGTACGTGCTGAGCTCCAAGAAATCAGCTCAAGCTCAGCTGACGAAGCTAAAATACTCTTGTTGCAGAGGCAATTGTTGTAATTGCATATTATAGATATATTTACATACTAAATATCTATCTAAGATTATATATTCTATATTAACATAAAGCTATTTTTAGTTATAGAATATTCATTAGTTTGCAACGATTTGAAATTGCTTAGGCAAACAGTCAAACTGATTAGCATAAAATACTTAATTCTTTTTAAACTTTTAATAGTTCTTGTTAAATGCAATTCCAGTAATTTGACTAACTTCTCTCTTCTTAATCTTCTACTTAAAATTCCACTCAATGTTTTCTATGCCAGACAATTTTATGTATATTTGATTAGATATTTTATATACGTTTCAAAACTCTTCCATCTACACTTATTCACAGGCTTTCATGCAACTTCATACACAAGCTTAAAGTGGATATCTTTTAGGTACTCAGCTGCCAACATAATACTTGTTCACAGTTTAAATACAATTAAATTTAGTAAGGCATCTAGAATTTCGTTTTACCAAGCACTAAATTTCAGTCTTTATGAGTAATAATACATTTCAGCATATATTTAATATCTTAATATACATTTATACATCTTGAGTATCAAACAACAAAAGAGCTTCAACAGCTTTAGTATAGCTTTGTATATATGTAAATGAATATATTTAATATATGTATATATGT